ACCTAGTATGCTCCTCCCGGGAGGGACTCTACTGTACTTGGGTCTTACCACTTGACTGCCACATGATCTCCTGTGTGCCTCCTTTAACGCTCTGTGTTTATTTGATTCCATTTAAGAGCATTCTTGTGACAGGAGTCTGCTGAATTCCAGGGTGTTGAGGGGGAGGCATGGAAGGTCAGGTCCTGCCCTGTGAGCAGCAGGCCCCACCTGATCTTTTTATCGGTTCACAGAGGCTGCTGTCCCCAGGGTTGTCAGAAGGCAAGCATGCTGCTAGCTGTTGCTTTGCTGTGGTGTCTGTCCATTCAGTGGGTGTTGCTTGGTATTCTGAGCAGCTCTCGTCCTAGGCTGTTCTGCATGTGTGTGTGTCTCCACCCCTGGCCACGTGCACATACGTTTTGCCCTCTGTCCCTCTGTGGCCTGGACACCACCTATGGGCAGGACCATGCCTGTATGTGTGTAGTGGGCACACTGGTACTGTTGGCATAGCCTGTACTCTCTGCCACCCTTGCTGCAGCTCGACCAGGCAGCTGCCATCCTCCAACATACTATCCAGTCTAGGCATGGAGGGAAGTTACTGGGTCAGAGTCTCACAGCTGGTATGAGCTGGTTATGGCTGAGATAGGATCATATCCTCCATCTGCCCAAGGTCTCATAAGGCACAAGGTCTTGCTCTCATAAGACATGCTATCACGTTCCGCTATAGCTAGCCCACAGGAAACATGCAGTGAACACTGGGTTTAATGCCCTAAGTGGCATCTTATAGAGAGTGTGGAAGGAGACAGCACTTGTTGAAATGCAGACCCACTGTGTCTTCCTAGTCAGAATATAGACTTGTACAGCTAACAGGATACATTCTGACAAGCAGGCCGTTAGCACAGAGGAGCCTTATGCTGCCCTGCGTTGTATAGGTAAGACACTAGACGTTTTGGGGGATTTTGAAACAGGGTCTCTCTGTAGCCCCAGCCGGCCTGGAAATCACTATGTAGACTAGGTTGGCCTTGATCTCAGAAATCTGCCTGCCTCTGCCTCCCTTGTACTGGGATTAAAGATGTGTCAGCGCACCAGCACTTAACACCTCTCGATAGACTCAAGGGGATTGTAAGATGTAGGAACTGATGCTGACCAGCACTGTACAGTTCACAGTTGCCTTGATTTTTAGTGGGTAGAGGGGTGCACTTTAATGATAAAAGGAGCTTGGGTCAGTGGTGCATTCCTGTAATCCTGTAGTTGGGAGACTGAGGAAGGAGGATCACTGTGAGTTCCAAGCCAGCCTGGGCAACAGAGTGAGACCCTGTCTCAGCAACCCCCTCATCCCAAAATAACAAAATACATTCTGTAATAATTGTATGAGTGAGTACCAGTCATTTATCATCAAGCATTATGCACTGTGCATAACAGCTATACTTTTGTATAAGTGGCCGCAGTTGACTTGCACATAGCAGCCCCAAGGCAGATACAGGAAGGATATAATGCACTGTGATCATGGCTACTAGTGGACAGTGGGACTCTGGAACCACCTCTGAATTTGTGCTCTGTTGCTGACCATGGTGCTGCTGTATTTGGGGGCAGGCCCTGGAAACCACTTGCTGTTTGGTGCTGTTGGGATTCACATGGAAGTTTAAGCTCACTTTACAGGGAAAGAATAGGACACATAAGAAGCTGGGCATGGTGGGGCACACCTGAAATCCCAACACTCAGGAGCTGAGGCAGGAGGCTTGCTGCCAGTTTGAGTCTAGACTGGGCTGGAGAATGAGACCTTATCTCGTAAAAAAACAGCAGGATCCATGAGCATGTGCTCTAAAGGCTGCAGCAGTACAGGAGGATGAGCTCAGCCTCTGCACACAAGTAACAAAAGACTTCATGAGGAAACCGTGTTCTGAGGGCTCTGTATAGGAAGCCATGTTCTGAGCACTCTATAGGAAGCCGAGTTCTAAGCACGCTATAGGAAGCCGAGTTCTAAGTGTTTTATACAGGCTCCTTTATTTTGCTCTTGTCCCATCCCCTACCTTGTATTGCTTGTCATTAGCAGAGCTGGCTTTTGGCCAGGTGTGCAGGACTTCCACAGGCCAGTGCTCAGCCCCCACCCCCAACTTCCTGCAGAGGAGTAGAGAAAGGATCCTGTAGTGGGCGGCAGTGTGGTCACAGGAAGATGGGCTCCTATGAGGTTGCCTTGGCCCTTTCCTGTTTGCACTGCCCACAGCAGAGGCCTTGGGGTCTCCCTATCCAGGATGCCCAGAGAATCCCCAGGCCAGAGTCTAGGGCAAAGCCAGGAGCTGAGTCAGGTACACTGCCTGAGCCACTACCTGCCATGGGCAGACATTACCCCAACTGTGCACTCGGCAGGGTGTAGGCTTGGGGAGGCTTTCAGAGCATATTACATTAGACATGCCTGGGGGCCACTAGAGCCTCAGTTTCCCCTGTAAAATGTGGGGGCAAGTGTTAGAGCCAAAATGTGTCTAAAACTTACAGGCCCAGGACCTGTGTGCTGAGGAGGCTGAGGCAGGAGGATCAGGAGCTCCAGGCCACCTTACAAGTCCCTGTCTCAAAACAACAAACAAGAAAAACCAACAAACCAGCCTTCCAAGTACATGCGAGTCCCTCCAGAAACCTACTGGGCTGCAGAAAGGATGGGGTGTTCTATGTGTGTGCATGTGTTTATTATAAAGTATCAAATATCGTGTTCTAGAATTACCCATTTTCCTCTTTCTCACCAAAGCTGGCCATCAGAACCCTCCCAACTGACCTGGGTTCCTGAAGTCATGCCTTGCACATTTGCCCAGGTCCCATTGTGCCATGCTCTGTCATCACTGCCTTCCACGGTCTAGACCTGGGAGTCAGCACACTGAGCCACAGGGCCTGGCCAACTGAATGCAACCATCTGCAATCGTGTGTGATGCTGTCAGCAACTTTGTTCTGAGATGTAGGTATCAGGCCCACAGAGCCAGACCTTCAGGGGTCCTTCAGTGAAGTGACTTGTGAACTCTGATGGTGACAGTAAAACTGGGTCACAGAAGCTCAGGAAGAGGGTTCAGGGACAAGAAGCTGCTGCTGACCCTGCATTTCAGTGCTGCACCTGCCTTGGTTCCTGGTCTTCACCCACATGGTGTCATGCAGTGGTGCTCATTTAAATGCTGACATCTGTTGAGTGCTGACTGCATGCCAGGCTCATCAGGAGCTATACACTCCTGTGACCCGCTTTGTTTTAGAAGTTCTATTCCTCACAGAACTGGCCCAGATCAACCCAGGACATCCACCCTTGGGGTGGAGAAAGCCAGAGGAGATCAGGCGCCCCACTCCCAACTTGTGCCTCACAGGGTGCTTGCCTGGGGGAGGCAGGGATGGCATGGGGCCCTGCCTCCATCACTCTAGCTAAGAACCACAGTTGAGTCAAGAATAGGATCCTGGCGTTAGAAGCTCCACCCTGAAGAGCAGATGGGCGTTCCTCCTGGTTTCCAGTTGTGACCTTGGATGGTTCTCTTCACTGCTCAGAGCCCCTTAGATAGTTGGTTCATAAAGGCAAGTCAGATGGAATCAGGGGAGGGGTGCTGTTAGGAGGAAACATGGGTAATTCTGAAGCCCAGGTGGGTATGGTGGTGCATGCCTATAATCCCAGCATGTCAGGTTGAGGTGGAAGGATTGTGAGTTCAAGGCTAGCCTGGATGTAAACAAAAATTTGTATGAGAACAAAAAATTTTCTTGAGAAAGTTGGAGCATTTCAACTCCCAACAGTATTGAGAGTGGCAAAATTGGTAGTGAAAAAAAAAAAAAAAAAGAAAAAAAAAATCAAAAATCTTTAGCTCAGTGCCTGACAGAGTAAGTGCTCAGTAGACAACAGTATTTGCTGGCTTCTCCTCCCTGCCAGCCCTCCTCCCCGCATGGCGCCCTATGTGCCCTCTGAGCCTGACAGTGGACACAGTCTCAGGCTGTGTCTATCTTCTAGCTGCTGGCTTTCTTAGGTGGCTCCCCTCAAGTTGGTCAAAAGTCTCTGGTACCCAGGGTCTCTCCCCAAGCTGACTCTGGTCCCCTGCTGTTGGTGGGAGAAGTGGGTGAGGGAGGTGGCATCACTGCTCACATTGGGTTGTTGAGAGCCAGCTCCCTGGAGATAGGACTGCAGAGCCATGCTGGGCTTGTACACAGGGACCCTGGCTCCCATCCAAGGCCACCTTTTACGTGTTGGACCACTTAGCCAGTTCCGTACTGCCAGCAACCTCTGTTCAGGTTCCTTTTATTTGGGAAACTTTTGATCTGCTGAGCATGGAGAAATGCTGGTTTGGAAAGTACAGATGGGTTTGAGCCAAAATGGCCCCTTCCTCTCATCAACCGTGGGATGTCTGTACCTCAGACCTGGCAATTTCCTTCCATGCACTTGGCACCAGTGTGAGTTCTTTTTATGTTTGTTTGTTTCCTTTGAGATAAGGGCTCATGTCCAGGCTGGCATGTAGCAGAGGATGAACTCCTGATCCCCTGCCTCCGTCTCTCAAGTGCCGGGATTAGAGATGTGGGCCACACACTAGGTTTACCAATGCTGGGGATTGAACCCAGGGCTTTGTATATGCTAGGCAGGCACTCTACCAACTGAGCTATACCCCCTGCTCTTCCAGGACTAGTTTCTTTCACTCCCACTGGTGTCACAGGCCTGTGCCAGCAGTGACTTTTTCTTTTGACCTTGGTGAATCTCGCTAACACAAGTGTTTCGAGCACACAGTAAATATGGTAATGGGGGTGCACTGGTGGTTCTGGCTTACTGTTGTATTTATTTTCCTGAAATCCATGGTTCCAAGAGGAGGAAGAGGCCTATCTGGCAGACTCAGGGCTCCCTAAGGCAGTACCTCTTGGCTTAGCCCTGTCTGCCTGTGAAGTGAACTAGTTCACTCCCTGGAGGAACAGGCGACTTGGGTCCACTGTAGCAGCAGAAATCTGCAGAGTCCCTCTCTTAAAGGGAGCCTGAAAGCCCTTCGGCCTCCTGCCTTCCCTGACAGAGTATCCCGTCTGCTCCACAGGGTTGTGAGAGCAGGAGGCTCTGGTGAGCAGGTGCGAGGATTGGAACCTGGAGATGAGCATACACAGGGGTGAGTCCACCCAGAGGCCCTGGCCACCCTTGACACAGCCTTGGCATAGGTTCCTCTGAGTCTCCACCTCCAGCATTGGCAGCCGAGCTTGCTATGCTCAGCTGTCTGGTTAAAAAGCAGGAGCAGAGCTGGGTGTGGTGGTGCCCACCTGTAATCCTAGCACTCAGGAGGCTGAAGCAGGAGAGTGACAGGTGCTAAGCCAGCCTGCAGGGCTGCAGACTTGCCAAGTGATCATGCAGGGACCTTGCCCCATGTTTGGGTCTTTGGGAAAGGTTACTGTTCATGCTCACCTGCCCCTTGTACTGGAGAGAAAAGTCTGTTTCCAACCAACAAGTAGCAGAGTGGGATTTGAACCTGGGCTGTGAGGCTCCTTTCTCTTCACTGTGCAGCAGTGGCTCCATAGACTGTCCTCCAGGTCACACCTGCCTGTGAGGAGTTTTCATGAGAGCAGCATGGTCAGGGCCTGTGGCCCCGGTTATGCAAGCTCGGGCATGTTGCTCTATCTTGGCACAAATAAAGTCTGAAAAAAAGTGCTGGAAGAGCAGGCATTCTAGAACTGTGAAAACAGCACAAGCGGGCTTGTGACGCTGTGTCTGTGACCACTGTGAGCAAAACTGGCCAGATGATAACCCATTCCCTGTTCTGTGCCCTGTCCCTTAGCCTGTCACTTCAGGTTTGCTGTGCCAGTGACTGACCCCAGGCAGACACACACACACAGCTATAGACACACTTGCAGATACAGACACACTCACAGATATACACATGCACTCAAACATACACACACACTCTACACTGACCCTTTCTGCAAATGCCTTTCAGTTCCCTCCTCCACTTTTTTATATCAAAGGGTAATGATTGTAATTTCAGCTAAGGTGTGATTGACAGCTCCCCAGGGGTCTTTGCCTAGCAATCATAGTAAGAGGCAGAGTTAGCCTTGGGTCTACCAAGAGACCTTCATGAACACTTGAAGCCAAGGTCTCCTTAGAACAGGTATCTGGCATCCTGCCCTGGCCAGCATGCCCTGCCCTGTAAAATCACCTTGGAATTAGCTTTCCCCATCACAGACCCAGAATTCAAGCACCAAGCTGCTCAGGTGCTCACCGAGCTGCTGTTTTCCAGGAAGAGGCCCCACCTGGGATCTGATGCTTGAGAGAATGCTAACCCCGGGATGAGGTGCATCTGCCTAATCAAGCATATCTAGACCCTACAGACCTGAGCTCAGTGGACTGTCCCTACGTGGACTGTGGACACAGGATGGTGACTTGACTTCTGCAGAGCCTGTGGCCAGCAGGAGCCACCTCAGCAAGTTGGACTTAAGGCCTGAGACTGCACTTCCTCAGCCAATGTCCATTTTCCACTTACTGTGCCCTTGTGGGTGTACTGGCCCATACTTAACCTTTGGTTCTTCAGTCCTTTGGTGATTTTTATCAAGCCTCATGTCTGAAAAATGACATCACTCCCTCTGGCTCCTACCCTCCCCTCACTGCCCCGCCCCCATGCTTGGTAAGGCACTTGCAGCCCCATCAAGATTGGGCTCTTTCTTCTTTGCCTCTGAAGTGACTGGCCCCTCTACTGGGAATACCTGCCAGTTCCCCATTGTTCAGCTCTCAGCATGAAGGCTCTGCCCTGCTCTGCCCTGCCCTGCCCTGCTTAGGGATCTGCCACCTCCCAGGAATGGATCCAGAGTGCAGCTGTTGCTACGGTACACTTCCCACAGAAGGTGTTTTAAGTTTTACAGAGCCTATTCTACAGATCAGACCTAGAGAAGTTAAGTCTCTTGCTCAAGCTCACATAGCCAGGTGATGGTAGAATTAGAATTTAAATCTAGGTCCACACAACTCTTAATTCCAGAAAGAGGTGGGAGAGGCAGGTAGGGAAACTAAGGCTCAGACACAGTGGGGGTGAGGCAGAGAAAGGATGGCATGACTTGAGATGGGCAGAGCATCTATGCCTGTGCTGGCCTATGGCAAGAAGCCTGGGGTATTGGCAGTGAACTGGACAGGGGATAGTGGCCTGAAGACATGGGTGGCTGGCCCTGCTTTTCAAAGTAAGCCTCTGTCCTGAATTCCAGCCCTCTGTGTTTGCAAGGCCTGGGAGAGAGATGTGTTGTTGCTCATGTTCCAAGCAGCCCCCTCGTCTTCTGGTCCCAAGCCTCCATCCACCCCTGCAGGTGCTCTGGGGCTGCCTGTGGTGTTGGTCCTGTGCTTTGTGTTGCCCCACTTCATTCTCTTCCCTCCAGCCCCAGTGGCCTTCCCTTAGAGTCCCCAAGACTCTGTTCCCTCTGCCTGGAGTGTCCTTCCCATGCTCTTGGCTCGATCCTCCTCTGATAGTTCTCAGAATGCTACCCTTTCCCCTCAGGAGTCCCTCTAGCAGCATCTAGATCATTATCACTCCATCTCTGTTCCCCTTGAGTCCCCCACTTTCCCACCACCACCGGAGCTGTGCAGGTCACTGTTCTCTTCTAGCCCTGAGCATGATGCCAGGCCCCTACTGTCAGTGCTGGATGGATGTGTCCTGAGTGTAGGTGGGGAAGGGACAGGGACTGGAAGAAACCATCTTCTGCCTAGTCGGGGCAGCATTTGGGGCAGGCACAGGGTAGGCCAGCCTGGGTTTGATTGGATCCTTGCTTGACTTCTTCTCTGCTGGGCAGTATGGGTGTCTCTGCCTCAGTTTCATCCCCTACTCTAGACTCTGGTCATGCAGTCACTCATTCTGTTATTACTGATGGAGCAGTAAGAGGCCAGGCCTCTGCAGGGAGCAGGGGTGCACTGTTAACATGTCTGAGAGACCCCATCCCCTTGAGATATGCCATAGGGGGCACACAGGCTCGTGGGCTATTGCCCATGTTTTAATTGTACTTCGAGTCAGGGTCTTGTAAATCCTGGCTGGCCTCATACTCACTGTGAGGCCGAGGCTCCTGATCCTCCTGCCTTCGCCAACATGCCTGGTTTATTCAGTGCTAGGGATCAAATCCAAGTCTTCCTGTAGGCTAGGTAGGCATGCTACCAACTGAGCTACATTGTCAGCCCTGCTTTTCAATTTGATACGTTTTTTGATACCAAGTTGCCCAGGCAGGCCTTGAACTTGCAATCCTCCTGCCTCAGCCTCCAGAGAAGCTGTCCTAATAGGCCTGTGCTAATAGGTGCTGGTGTTTCCCATACTTTAACAGTAAACCCCATGGCTGTTCTTAACAGATGAGCCAGTGGAGGCAGAAATAATGGACTCTAACTGGCCAGGACGCCACAGCCACAGTGGTGCAAGATTGGACCTGACTGTCTACCTGAGGCTTCAGGCCACCATGGTATTCCCGGTGGGGTAAAGCACCCACTATGTGCATCTGAAATCCTGTGCCTACCGCCCAGCATCCTGTTTGCATCCTAAGAGTGAGCAGGTGGCAAACCTGGCTGACACTGTCCCTCTCTCTGCAGATGCGCACTGGGTGGGCCAGCTGACCCGTCGCTGAGGCGGGCCCCCAGGCTGGGCCTGCGCCCCTGGCTGGGCATGCGCCTGTCAGTGCGCAGGGCGCTGCTGGCGGCAGGCTGTGCCTTGGCCCTGGTGCTGGCTGCACAGCTCGGACAGCAGGTCCTGGAGTGCCGTGCAGTGCTGGGTGGCCGGCGTAGCCCACGGAGGATGCGGCCGGAGCAGGAGGAGCTGGTAATGCTGGGCGCCGACCACGTGGAGTACCGCTATGGAAAGGCCATGCCACTCATCTTTGTGGGCGGCGTACCCCGCAGCGGCACCACGCTCATGCGCGCCATGTTGGATGCACACCCCGAGGTGCGCTGCGGGGAGGAGACGCGCATCATCCCTCGAGTGCTGGCTATGCGGCAGGCCTGGTCCAAGTCCGGCCGTGAGAAGCTGCGACTGGACGAGGCAGGCGTGACGGACGAGGTGCTAGACGCTGCCATGCAGGCCTTTATCCTGGAGGTGATTGCCAAGCATGGGGAGCCGGCGCATGTGCTGTGCAACAAGGACCCCTTCACGCTCAAGTCCTCCGTCTACCTGTCCCGCCTGTTCCCCAACTCCAAGTTTCTGCTGATGGTGCGCGATGGCCGGGCCTCTGTACACTCTATGATCACGCGCAAGGTCACCATCGCGGGCTTCGACCTCAGCAGCTACCGCGACTGCCTCACCAAGTGGAACAAGGCCATTGAGGTGATGTACGCCCAGTGCATGGAGGTCGGCAGGGACAAGTGCCTGCCCGTGTACTACGAGCAGCTAGTGCTGCACCCGCGGCACTCGCTCAAGCGCATCTTGGACTTCCTGGGCATCCCCTGGAGCGATGCAGTCCTGCACCACGAGGACCTCATCGGCAAGCCCGGGGGCGTCTCTCTGTCCAAGTGAGTGGGGCCCCACAGTTCCTCCCAGGTGGCAGATCAAGTCTGCCTTTCCTGAGCTGTGCTGCTGTAGACAAGTGTCTGTGCCTCTCTGAGCCTCAGCATTCATCTATGTAATGAATAGTTTGGGAACTGAGAGACTGACACAGAGCCTTGCATCAGATCCCCGCATCGCCCCACCGCCCATCCCCCACATACCCTGTGCCTGCCTGATCCAGTGACTCACTGTTCCTATTGAAAAGCCCAGAGAAAGCATCAAATTGTATGCTCCAAACTGGAAAGACCAGGTACCTAAAGGAAGCTGACGGTCATAGGGACCTTTAACTTTCACATTAGCGTTGATTTTTTTTTTTCCCAAGGGCAAACTATTCAGGTTAGTTATAGATACAAAATGTTTAAAAAATATATTTTTATTGATTCTTTGAGAGTTTCATGCAGTGTATTTTGATCATATTCAGAACCCTCTCCCCAATCTCCGCCACTGGCCTACTGCCCCTCCTCGCAACTGCATGTACTCTTTCGTTTCTTTAAAGGCCTGTGGACTGTAATCTGTGTTCCTCAAATGCCCTTAAGGTGTGTGTCTCTCCCCTGGAGTCTGGTCAGCCTACCAGGCATCACAGCCTTAATGAAAACTGTCTCACACTCTCCCAGCAGCTATCGGTTGCCAGTAGTGCCTCAGCTAGGGCAGGCTGGGGCTTCTTGACCACCTCCCCCTTCCATTGTGGGTTTTTGTCTGGTTTTATCTTGCACAGGTCTTGTGCATGCTGTCACAAGTGCTGTGCATTCATATGTGCAACTACCCCATGGTGTCCAGACAACAGGGTTTCCTTGTATTCACCTACCTCCTCTGACTCAAATCTTCCTACCCCCTCATTTGCCAGGACTTTGAGCCTTGGGAGGAGAGGGTATGATACAGGTGTCCCCATTTAGGGCTGAGAGCTCTGTGGTTTCTTGTTCTTTGCACGTTGACCAGTTGTGAGTGTCTTTGTTAATTGCCCTCAGTGCATTAATCCTGTCAGATGCATAGTTATTTTTAAGAAATCAGGGAGCCGGGTGTGGTGGCTCATGCCTTTAATCAGAGGCAGAAGCAGGCAGATCTCTGTGAGTTGGAGGCCAGTCTGGTCCACATAGTGAGTTTCAGGCTAGCCAGGGCTACAAAAAAGAAAAAAAAAAGGAAAAGAAATCAGGGGCTGGTCTGGCAAGATGGCTCAGTGAGTAAAGATGCTGGCAGCCTGAGCTGGATCCCAGACCCATGTAAAGGTAGAAGGAGAAAGCCAGCTCCACATAGTTGTCCTCTGACTTCCACGTGTACCATGGAATGTGCCTTCCCATATCTGGCACACAAAATAACAATAAACAAATAACTTTAATAATAGTAAAAATAGTAATACTAATAATAATAAAAGTGGAGCTGGAGAGATGGCTCAGTGGTTAAGAGCCCTGGCTGCTCTTGCAGAAGACCCAGGGTCAGAGAAGACCCCAGGTTCAGTTCCCAGCACCCACATGGCAGGAAACAACTGTCAGTAACTCCAGTTCCAGGGACTCTGATGCCCTCTTCTGACATCCACAGGCATTGCACATGGTGCACTTACATACATACATGCAGGCAAAACACTCATACATATGAAATAAAATAATCCAAAATAAAATTTAAATAATCAAAAAGAAGATGGTTCAAGAGCGAAGTATTTGCTATGCAAGCATGAGGGCAGAGTTTAGATCTCCAGCTCCAAATGCCAGATGTGGTTGGTGCCTGTAACCCTAGTACCAGAGGCCAGACACGCAGATCCAGGAGGCTCACTGGCCAGCAAACATGGCCAAAACAGTGGTGTTCACTGAGAGACTGCCTCAAAAACTAAGGTGGGAAAGCGATTGAGAATATCAGACATCAGCCGACATCAGCTTCTGGCCTCCACATGTGCTCCATGTGTACATACATGCATAGACCACACATGCATACACTGTACACATGCATATACCACATACATACCACACACATACTTGCACTCATTAATATACCACATACATTGCCTACACCACACAAATGCACATACGCATACGCCACATGCACATATGCATACAGCACTTACACACACACACAAAGAAGTCGGAAGCAAAGGAAGCCAACTTTCTGCACCAGCAATGTGCACTAAGTGTTTCTTCTGACTGTTGTTCTCCCTGGTGTGTGCAGAGCTCTGAGGCACAGTGCCTGCCCACACTCTCAGCTAAAGGGGCAGACTGGTCAGGGCCGAGGTCCGCCCTGCGTTTCTTGCTGCCCCATGGCCACTGAGCAGGAGCCTCCCCTGACCTGACAGGACTTTCCTCTCTCCCCAGGATTGAGCGGTCCACTGACCAGGTCATCAAACCTGTGAATTTGGAAGCACTCTCCAAGTGGACTGGCCACATCCCTGGGGACGTGGTGAGGGACATGGCTCAAATTGCCCCCATGCTGGCTCGGCTTGGCTATGACCCATATGCAAACCCACCCAACTATGGAAATCCTGACCCCATTGTCATCAACAACACACACAGGGTGAGTGCATGCACATGGAGTGGTGTGCTCACAGGCTTGTGGGAGTGGAGGCTCCAGTTTTCTGGGAAAGCATTCAGTCTTGGGATTCCTGCTCAGCTGGTTTGTTTCTCCCTGATGGACATAGTGAATGGTCTAGCTGCATGTATTGCCATTTTGGCTTGGACTGCAAGGAAGCTCAAGGCCAGTAGGTAGCCTACCTGTTGAATGTATAGCATCCAACAGCAGACCTATTTGTGTCTCATGCCATCTTACTTACGTTTTCTTTCCTGTTTCCCTGGCTATTCATGTCTTATGGTCTCTTCTTTACTTTTCCTTCCTGTTTCCCTGTCTGTCTGTCCGTATAGCCCCTCGAGTCTTTCTGTCTTTCTTTTTGTTGTTGTTGTTGTTGAGACAGGGTCTCTCTGAAGCCCAAGCTGGCCTAGAACTTGCTATGTAGACCAGACTGGTCCCAAATTCACAGAGATCCTCCTGCCTCTGCTTCATGAGTGCTGGAATTAAGGCTTCAAGTCTTTTTAAGAGCAGAAGTACGTAAAGAAACTGGATCCCTTTATGACCCTATGACTATAGCATTGACGTCTCAGACATGAACTTGGAGTTGTTGAAGCTGCTGTTTATGTCTTCCTAGAGAATGGTCAGGAGCAGTGACTTGACAAGGTATTCTGTGAGAACAGTGAACAGGCTCACAGGCAGTTTTACTGGTTGCTGTCACAACTTTCAGCACTTTGGGTGCTGTGTTTGAATATCCTCACAGGTAGTCACAATCTAGGCATATGCGATGTGACCTTGGGTGAGTGACAGACTCCTTAAAGTTCCCATGAGACAAAAGCAAAGCTGATGAGTTCTGAGGCCAAGCACAGTGCACCCACTGGCGTCTGGTCCTATAGATGTGAAGTGTGTCAGGCATGTGGGCTGTAGTGCTTGTGCACGTATCAGCACTCGGATGCCTTCGTGGCAGCGGATGCCCTTCAGGACACATTCTCAGATTATTCTCCATCTGGAGAAGAGAGGGTGTGCGTGACAGTGGGGACTGAGCTGAGGATACCCACTCCCAGCCAGAAGTCACTCAGATCCAGAGGCCCAGCCTGGTGCCTCGCAGTGGTCCCAGGCTTCCTGTATTGAGTTACAAAGCCCTGTCTCCCTCAGCTCTCTAAACTCAAGGGGAGTCTTGACTGAGCCACTTAGCACCAGCAAGTTCTTAGTTTAAAAAAATTATTTATTTATGCAAATAGGGTCTACCTGTGTAGTATAGGCTGCCCTCAAACTTGTGATCCCGCTGCCTCAGTCTCCTTAGTTGCTGAGATTACAGGTGTGTTCTATGACATCCACCCTTAAAGTGTTTTTTTGTGGCATGATCTTGCTGTTCTATCCAAGCTAGCACCTAGCTCCTGGGCTCATGTCATCCTCCTTCCTCAGCCTCCTGCATAACTACAACTGCAGGCATGTGTCAGGACTCCCAGGTACAAAGCCTTTGCTGCCTCTTCAATTTTCATTGCGTATGGTGCTGGGGCTGGAACCCCAGGCCTCCGCATGCTAGGCAAGTGCTCTTCCTCCAAGCTGTGTTCCCAGCCCTGTTCTCTCATCTTAACAGAGAGAACTTGCCATCATCAGGATTGAGGTGCAGGTCCCTCTGTGGGGCTCCTGTGGTTTACCTCCCTCATTTAATGTTGCAAAGGCTTATAGAGGTGGAGATTCCACCAGCAGTGTGGACCAGCACTGGCGTGGTATATGTCTATTCATTTTCATTGCAAATATTATTAATTGCTATTTGGAAAGACGTTATTCTTCAAACCCTACTTCTCTAATATTCTTTTCCGTACAGATGCTCTGCTTGGTCATGACAGTCACCTGTGTAATGACTGAGCTGTAGGGCATCAACTTAGACTATTAGCAAGTGCCAATTCAACAGATTTGAGGCTAGGGGTCTGGTGGGAGTCCAGCATGCATAAGGCCCTGGGTTTCATTCCTACCACTGCAAAAACATGTAAAACAAGTTTTTTAAAATGTGGTACCATTTCGCCCTAACTGTAATAGGCTGGATGAAAAAGCAGAGCCGTTTGGTGGCTGTGAAGTCTGGCCCCAGGCACCCAAAGGGGCGGCAGCAGTGGGCCAGGACAGCTGGGGGTTCTTTCTTTTTCTTTTCACTTTAGTGTGTGTATGAGAGAGCACGAGCACCGGTGCAGGTGTGGCCTCGCTTACCAATGGCAGTCAGGACAGCTCTCTGGAGCCAGTTCTCACCCTCCATCTTGTTGAGACAGGGTCTCTCTTGTTTCTGCTGCTGCGCTGTGTACTCTAGGCTGGTGAGCTTCGGGGTGCTTGAACGGCCTCCACCCCCTTCTCACCGTAGTGCTGTGATTACAGACGTGCACCACCACATTGGCTTCTTATGTGGGGTTCTGGGGATCAAACTCAGGCCGGCAGGCTTGCATGGGGAACACACTTTGACACTCTGAGCCCTGCTTTCCTTTTTCTTTTTTCTTTCTTCATTTTCTTTTCTTTTTTGAGACAGGGTCTTACTCTGTAGCCCAGGCTGATCTAGAACTTGTGGGTGATCCTCCTGCCTCAGCTTCCTAAGTGCTGGCAGTACAGGTATGAGCTACCACGTCCATGTGTGGATTGTCGTCTTTCCCCCATACTGAGTGTGACCCCAAGGCCTCTCAAATGTGAGGCAGGCACCAAGGGAACACAGCTCCTAGAGGAAGGTCAAACTGTATTTTACATCACAGATCATTCTAGCAGATGCCTATGGTTAGAACAGCTCTTCTGTTTGTTTGAGATGGAATATGGGTCAGGTGTGGTGGTACATACCTTTAATCTCAGCATTCAGGAGGCAGAGGCAGGTGGATCTCTCTGAGTTCGGGACTCTCCTAGAGAGCATGAAAGTGTTCCTCCTGGGTTTCAAGTCTTGACAGGGGCCCTGCACCCACCCCAGCTCGGTCTCCACGATGGCCCCCCTCTGCTGGAAGAGAAGCTCCTGAGGAAAAGCCACATGGGAACCAGGGGCAGGTGGGTGCTCCTGGGTGCTGCAGGCACTGCCTCCCCATCCTGGGGCTCATGAGATTTCATGGTCTGTCACTGTGGCCGCTAGCCTGAGATGAGATAGGCCACATTGAGGCTGCAAGTGGAAATACATGCAGGCTTTGAAGACTTAGGACCAAAAAAGCATGTGAAATACTAGTCATTTTTACATAGGATCCATGTTCCTTGGTTCAAGACTTTCACACAGCAGGTCAGATAAAAGAAGTTAGCTTTGGTTTTCCCTGTCTCCCTCTGCATTCCCCGTGGCTGTGGGAAAGCTCCACGGCTCCCTCCCATTCTCATCCCGGTGGGAAGCAGCAGCAGACACCAGCAGGGTACTGTCCACTCCAGGACACAGTGGGAAGGCCCAAGTTGTCTGCCATACCAGTAGGGCCTTGTTCTCACCTTCTGCCCGAATGCCTTTCCTTTCCAGCTTAGCCTGACTGGTTTTCCTTTTTGTTCCGGTCTTACCTCAAAGGTCACCTGGTCACAGAAACCCCTGGTCTCTCCTAACCACACCCCTTTGCTTCACTTCCTTCCTGGCACGTCATATGCATGTGATGATTTGTGTATTCTGTATTTTGCCATCTTGTGTGCTCTGTCTAGAATGTATGTTCCAAGAGGATAAGAACTCTGGTTAATGCCATTCCAAGTGCTTGGAATAAGAGGTGCACAGTAAATGTTGGGGAGGGAAGATGGGTAGACGGATGGAAGTGGGTGGATGGATGGAAGTGTGGATGCATAGATAGATGGGTGGATAGGTGGGTGGGAGGGTGGATGGATGGATGGAAGCGTGGATGCATAGATAAATGGGTGGATAGGTGGGAGGGTGGGTGGATGGATGGAAGCGTGGATGCATAGATAGATGGGTGGATAGATGGGTGGGTGGGTGGGTGGGAGGGTAGATGGATGGATGGAAGTGTGGATGCATAGATAGATGGGTGGATAGGTGGGTGGGAGGTAGGATGGGTGGATGGATGGAAGCGTGGATACATAGATAGATGGGTGGATAGGTGGGTGGGAGGGTGGATGGATGGATGGATGTGTGGATAGATGGATGGGTAGATAAGTGGGTGGAGGATGGATGAATGGATGAGTGGATGGATGATGAATGGATGTGATAGATGGATGCATAGGTGGATGGTAGATGATGGATGGATGAATAGATGATTGATTGGTGATGATGGATGGGTGATGGATGATGGATAGATGAAAGGTGGATAGGCATATGGATAGGAGAGATGAAGAGTAGATGGGTGAATTAGTAGGATAAGTAAATGAAATGAGAAATGTGGGCGAGAAGGATGTAATTGAAGGGGTGCTAGGTAGGTGGGTGAAGAACTGGAACAATAGAGAATGGATTGCTGGAAGGAGGGATGGAGAGGGAAGGGTGGATTACTAGACAGATGGATGGATAGATGTGTCAGTGGTGACTGGATTTTAGTCTTTGTCCATCTTTCCCATGGTGACACTTCCTTTTTCTTTCCTAGGTCTTAAAAGGAGACTATAAAACACCAGCCAATCTGAAAGGATATTTTCAGGTTAGTCCAGGGGAATTCTGCTTTCTTTTTACTGGCTGTGCCCTAGCTCACTGTTCGCCCATGGCCATTCCACTTCTCCCTGCTGACTGATAAGTTCCCAACATAAACCTGGGTCCGGCTAAGCCAGAGGGTCTGTAAGTGATTCATCCTGCCCAGACCCATCTCAGCAGCCCTTTTCCTGAGCTTTCCTGTTCCTTGTTCTTTGGCTAGAAGGTGACTGGGGACTTCATGGGGACTCTTCTGTCTCTAGCCTTAAACTCAGCCTTGTTTAAGATCGCATTTGCTAAGCACAACACCAGGTACCATTCTCTTCTGTGTACGAGGAAACATGGGGTGTGCATGGCTGAGTGACTGTAGGGCTACACTCCTGCACTTGCTTCCCACGGCTGGGCCCACCATTCAAGGGATGTCCCTAGGTGGTAGTGCACAGAATGTCAAGGCCACCCAGGCCTTCCACCTGGTCACCCTACCACCATTATGATTCCCTTTGGAGCTAAAGTGCTGTCTTTCAAATGATGGGGTGGTGCTAAATGAGTCATTTTGTATATGTGTTTTTGTGTACATGCTGGTATGTGTGTATATAAATGTGTTCACATATACATGGACGCCAGGCATTGATAGCAGGTGTCTTCCTCAGTCTCTCCACCTTTTTTCCCTCTTCCCCACCTTCCTTTTTGAGGCAGGGTCTCTCACTGAATTTGGGGCTCCCTGATTTGGCTGTGCCAGGCTGGCCAGCAAGCTCCAGAGTCCTCTAGTCTCTACCTCCCTAGCAGTGAGGTTACAGTTGTGGCCCCACCCCGGTTATTTTATGTGAATTCAGGAATCCAAACCCAGGTTCTCACTCACATGGTGAACACTTTACAAGGAAGTCATCTTGCCAGCTGTGTTTCACTTTGGAAAAATAAATCAAGGACCACCCCGTGGCCACCCCCATTTTAATGGTGAAATCATTGGCACTTAAGTGTAGCACTGGTACTTTTTGCTGTCCTTTTTTCCAGCTTTTATGCATTTTTGTGCTGTTTGTACTTACTGGTGTGTCCTGCTCCTGAGATTTCTCCATCTGCTGGGTGAGGCTGTGACTTTGTTTGGATGACTGCATTGTGTTTGCTGTGGTGTGTGCCAAAACTGGCTCATGGACTCCTTCCATGGGTTCTTGCTTTTTCAGTATCTTGAAAGATGTCCTCCGTGGGGAGGAGAGGTGTGTTCCCCTAGAATACAGCTTTTGAGACTGCAGTGCTGAGTCATCACCCCAGCACTTGGGAGCAAAGTCCCAGCGGAAACAGACTGTGAACCACGGGGTGAAGGTTCAGGAAGGGACTGTACCCGTTTCCATCCCATGCAGCACTGGGGTGTCTAAGACTTGAGCTGATCAGGGCCTGGCTCATGCTGGCCGTCAGGAGCCACTGTGGTTGGCCTATGTCCTGTGGGTAGTCAACCCTGTCCTGCTTAGTGCAGATGGCGAACAGCCCCTGCTACCTGCCTCCCTTCCCACTGTTTTCACTGTACTTTGGATGTCTTGAGGCTATGAATGCTCAGGGAGGCCCTTGGATTAGTGGCAGCCCATGCCTGCCACAGGACATGGTAACCATCCAGAGCACAGTCACAGAACCCAAACATAGAAAAATGTTAACAGAGCAAAACCATTCTGTGTCATGTCCCTCCAGCACCACACCAAGTGTCGCCAAGTGCTGCTTGTCCCTCTACCTGGGTGCCTTTCCTCCACTCCTGGTTTTCATCCTCCACCTCCTAGCTTTGGGTATTTTCTATTACCAACCAGTTCTCCCATTATCCAGGTCCACACTGGGAGGATATACAGTTCAGGTCAATTCTGGCACTAAGTCCCAGAGTTAGCATCAGCCCTGAGGGTGAAAAAGCCCAGCCTCACAAGATCACCCTTCAGTGCTAGCCGCAGTGGGGTGCCCAGGCTCTCCATGAAGCCATCATGCCTTCCTGCTGGCTCATAGCTTGCTAGAACAACTCATAGGACCCAGGGAGAGTGTGTATGATATCAAACAGGATACAGCTCAGGAAGAGACACTGGGAGAGGTAAGGGCATAAGCTTCCAAGCCTGCCCCAGGGCACCTGCCAGCATGTCCTGGCCAGCTAGCTCTGCAGCCCATCACGTCATGATCATAACAGACATAATTATTGGTTTGTCGGTCACTGCAGAGGGACTCGATCTCCAGTTCCTCTGCCTTCTGGGAGCTCAGGGATGTGAAGGAGTGATCCTACCCCCTAGTCCTGCACTGCATTTTCTCCAGGGCCCCTTGCAACTAATCATCCTGTCATCATATAAAAGATGCCTCGTCATAGGAGATCCCCGGGACTGTGTACTAGGAGCAGGGACAGAGAGCAGACACATGTCGCATCTACAGCATCAGTGGCATCTTGCAGAGTCCTCTGCTTAGCAAGGTGACCCCTTGGTGGCCCAGATCTGATGTGGTCCTCTGTACAGGTGTGTATATGTGTGCATGCACGTGTGTGTAACAGATGGCCCCCAGCTGGCTCCATTAGAATGGGGCTCTGTGGTTGAGTTCCACATGAGCTACCTAGCAGGCTGGCTGGACCTCCTCTGGAGGGAGGAGAATCCTTGCATCTGCCACCTGGCCTGATCGTGTCCTCTGTTCTCCTCCAGGTGAACCAGAACAGCACCTCTCCCCACCTGGGAAGTGCATGATTTCCAGGTAAGCCTTCCTCCTACCTTGCAGGGGTCCCCCTGGCTGAAGTGCCTGTGCTTCCAACCCCAGCCCCATTTGAGATTTCCGTGGTGACTGGTTAGGGACCTATTTATAGAATGAGGCTTGGTCTGAGCTCTGGGGTTTGGGAAGGGGTAGGGATGATGGTGGACCAAGCAGGAGGAGGCTTTTCCAACCTCGGGGACGGGCAGGAAGGCCTTAGGGATTGTGAACCATTTCTATACCGAATAGGGCCTGTCACTCCTGCTTCTATAAACAGCCTCAGCCCTGGCCCAACGCAATGGATGTTCTAATAATAGTCACAGTGGTACTGGTCCAAGAATATTCCCCAGGGCATTGGGCCAGGTGCTCTTCTGCATGCCTTACTTCACCCTCAGGTTCCTAGGAGGCAGGGAACACAGTCCTACCACCCTACAGAGAGAACTAAAGCCAGAGAGGCCTAAGGGATGGGGAAAGGAATTGTGAGGTGGGGCACTCAATTTCTGTGTCTCTTGAGTTCTTCTCTGAAGCTGTGATGAGACTCTGGAGTTCTGTTTAATTCTAGAGAAAAGAACCTTGAACTGAAAGCAGCCCCCTTCCCCTCCTCACTTCCCTCCTGCCCCTCACTCACTTGCTGCAGCTTCATTAGTGGAACCTTGGACCAGCTCATTTCCAAAGCCAGCTTATTTCTTAACTGTTTAAAGAAATGCCACATACGGATGCTTTAACTAATCCTGGGGCGTAATTGGCCTGGAACAGGTGCCAGTCCTTTCCTTTCCTCTGAAATTCCTTCATATTTATCCCTTATTAGACTGATTGATTGTACATGGAGTTTGAAGCCAGGGCTTTATGCATTGACCCTCAGACCTAGCACATGACAGGTACTCTACCACTGAGTTATATCCCTATCCCTCTTTTTACTTTCTGTTTAAAATAAGATCTCATTTAGTTGCCTAGGCTAGTGCTGAACTCGCTCTGTAGCCCAGGAAGGCCTTCAGTATGTAGTCCTTGTGCCTTAGCTCCCAAGTTGCTGGGATGATAGGCCTGTCCCACCAGGCCTGGCCTTATGTGATCTTTGTAAATAAAACAAGTGGCTCTTTGAGGCCAGATGGATACAGGTTGAGATGTAGGTAAGATAAGACAAGGACTAGTTTTCAATTTAAATTCTCCCTAGCCATCTGGAATGTATATGTAAAACCTGGATGCTTGTGAGGATGAATAGAACTGTACGTTCAGCATCACATGTATAAATAGGAATGCTGGGGCTGGAGAGATGCTCTGTGGCTAAGAGCATTTGCTGTTCTTCCAGAGAACCTGAATTCAGTTCCGAGCACCCATGTCAGGTGCCTCATAACTGCTTGAGTCCAGCTGCATGGGGATCTGATGCCCTCTCTAGCCTCTTTGGCCACCTTTACACACACACACACACACACACACACACACACACACACACACACAAACATATAGAAATAATTTTAAATAAGTCATTAAAAAAATAGGGCTGTATGTGGTAGCACACACCTTTTAACCCTTTAATCCCAGCACTTTGAGAGACAGAAGCATGTGAATCTCTGTGAGATCAAGGCCAGCCTGGTCTACATAGCTGAGATCCAGACCCCCAGGGGCTACTAGGGAGACCCTGTCTCTAAATAAATGATTTACTCAGTCAATCAATCAATCAATAAAATAAATAGGGGGCTGGAGAGATGGCTCAGCAGTTAAGAGCATGGGCTGCTCTTGCAGAGGACCTAGGTTCAGTTTCCAGCACCCATATGGTAACGGCTATCCTTAACTCCAGTTCTAGGGGAGCTGATGCCGTCTTCTGGCCTCCACAGGCATTGTATACATGTATACTTACATACATGCAGGCGAAACACTCATACACATAAAAGTAAATGAAACCCAGACTAGAGAGATGGCTCAGTGGTTAAGAGCACTGACTGCTCTTGCAGAGGACCCAGGTTTGAATCCCAGCACCCACATGGCAGCTAACAACCATCCATAGCTCCAGTTCCAGGGGATCTGATGCCCTCCTCTGTCCTCCATGGGTGCTGCACTGCACTGATATAGATGCAGGAATAATACACATAAAGGAGGCAGAGGCAGGCGGATCACTGTGAGTTCAAGGCCAGTCTGGTCTACATAGCAAGTTCCAGGACAGCTGGGGCTACAGGGAGACCCTGTCTTAAAAAAAGACCCAAAAAAAAAAAAAAAAGTAAATATAAAAGCTGTGCTTCAGAATCTGTGCCCAGTGCAATGTTGTCTCCCTGTTTCAGATCTCTGCCGGGGCTCAGCCACTGAGAAGAGAAGCATCTGTCTGTGGAAATCGGGCTCTAATCCAAGCATATTGCTTGCTCTCTGTTGCTGAAGCTGGTGAGGAGCACATTTGCTCATTTTGGTGAAAACGGACTTAACCCTCCGCCTTCACGAGCTCCAGGTGGACAGCACACAGTATGGAAGCAGTCCAGTTTTGGAAACTTAGGAATTTTCTATTTTTCCCCTCAAGAACTTTTTTTTAAGAAATGAATTTGCCATCATCCCTAGGGGGAAGGCTGCCTCAGCAGCTCATTCCTGGGGCACCCCGTAACCTGTGCCTATCCTCGACCTGGAATTTGAACTCAGAGGATCTATTTAAGAGTTTAATATATGGGCTATCTTTGATTCTTCAGTCCTACTCAGTTTCACAGAGAAAAGAACTTATTTGAATAAAGTAGACAGAGGCTGTCCGTCTGTGCCTTACTTCACACTGCGTGAACAGGGTTCTTTATTTTTCTCTATATAAAATTCTGTCTCCTGGAGGGGCAACCAACAGAAGCTAGAGAGGGCACCCATGCTGTTACAGGCACCTCTGAACTTTGGGGGGTGGGTGTTTCACCAGGGCCGCTTAGGCTGTCAGAGGAGCTGTGGGGATCACAATTATGCCTCAGAGGAAGGTGCTACAGTGGTATGAGGAAACTAGGCAAGAAAAAGGTTCACAAGCAGAGACCAGCTCAGGGTCCCTTCTTCTGGTAGAGCTTGTGAGCAACTCTCTCCTTAGGACCTGTGACTATAATACTGAGTGAGACTGCATAGAGGAACACCACATGGTGATGGTCAAATTAGGAGTCCTTTGTTAGCTAGCTAGCAAGCTGGTGGTCAAAGAGGGGGCTCATGCCCAAAAGAACTCTTGACTCCCAGAACAAGCAGGGCAAGGTTTATAAAGTTTAAAACCACAATTACATCATGACAAGGGTAAAGCCAGTAATCATAGTTACATCAGATCACCATAGTTATACCAAACCAGGGGCAAGGTCAATTAACAAAGAGATTTTCAATTAACAAAAAGTTTTGGTTGGAAAACACAGGTTTCTCAGAATGCAGAAATAATGGGCTCCATAGAGATGCAGGTACAGCTGGGAGGGAGGCCGTGCTCTCTGGACGTGCTACCTGGCTACTTGTAAGTTTCCCAGTATTGGAGAAACAATGTCCTCCCTGAATCTACCAGCATGAGATGTTCTGCCTGGCTGGCTACAAGTGGGAATGGCTGGGCAAAAATAAAGTAAAGCAAAAGTCAGCTGGAACAAAATGGAGTTAGTTTTGCCATTTCTATTCCCAGATGGCATTAGGGCAGAGTCAAAGAGATGACTCAGTATCCTCAGGTGATGAGGGTTGTACTGGACTCTCAAGTACATTAATTTGACAGAGGCTAATGACTGTAATTTTTTTTCAGAACAGGGTAACAGCCGGTTAATTATAAGCAAGGCCCAATCATTGGGCTCGAGGAGAAGAAGGAGGGGGAAGGGGAGAAGGAGGTGGGGGAAGAGGAGGACAGGGAGGACGATAAGATCTTGTTAGGCCTGGAAACAAGGTAGTCAGCCATGGATTCTAATCGGACCAGCAGTGGAACCAGAACTGTTGGCCTCCCTCTCCTTTCGTAACAGGTGGCAGGGTTGGGGGGGGGGGACTGGGAAGATGGCTCAGATGTTAAATAGATTATAGCCTGGACCTGTTGGAGAGACTGGAGATAATTTAAGAGAGACTGATCAGTAATTTTTCAGAGTAGGGTCCTTTAGTCTAGATAGTAGGGGAGGCAGCCTTTTGAACATAATCTATAAGGTATAAAACCCATCCAGTATCGCAGCACCCACATAAAAAGTTGGGCATGACTACATGTGCCTGTAGCCCCAGCACTGAAGGGCAGAAGCAGGCAGCGCTTGAGTGCTAGCTTCAGGCTGGCCAGCCTGGCCAAAACATTCAGCTTTAGACAGTCTTATGTTTACCTACAGGGGAATCCTCCTATATCCAGGGAGGGGCACTGTCTGTGTTAGGAGTGCAGGAGGCTCATAGTCCCCTGGCTGGGCAGCAGAGGACATTCATCTCACCTCTATTGTCCTCTTCCCTCTGTAACCAGAGGCTGACAGCCATTGCTGTGGAATCTGGGTTCTGGGTTCAGCACTAGCGAGCCAAGCTGAGTGACTCCGACTCCCCAGGCAGAGCCGAGGAAGACATCTGCCTGGTCAGGGATGGGTGGAGCGCCTGGAGGCTTGAGCTTCAATCCTGGTGCCCTCTGCCTGTAGCTCACACTTCCTCCCCTCATGGAAGTCTGAGTCATGCTTTTGACAGGGTCCTGGCTTCCCTTAGCAGATGTTGCAGGAGGTGGAGGGGGGACATGGAAGGACCCGGTAGTGGAGCAAACGGTAATTTCCAAGATGTGCCTGGAACCTTCTGCCCCAGTTTGTCACTGAGTCCTCCCTCCACACTGAGGGTGGAGGGGCAAGTCACCTTGTATGTTAGGAGTTAGCTAAGGGGAAAGGTCAGAAGGAGGGAAGGAAAAGCATTCCCACTTAACTCCTGGAATGTGTCAAAACAAGGCCATGCATCAAAAAATAAGATGACCAGGCTGACAAGGACATCTGTCTTAGTTATCTCTATCCTGACCAAGGCCAACTGGGCCAAAAGATAGAGTGTGGGAAGAGGGGATCAAAGAAGAGAAGACCTGGGGACCTTATAAAAGAACCAATCCAGAAGTCACATGGTGGTCTACCATGTCTGGAAAACTAACCCGAGAGAGTGTCTGCAGCTCTTGCTTTCTGCTCAATAACAGCCTGCTTCCACACCTTTCAAGTCTTGACTGCATTCCTCCTGGGAGTTCAGTTCTTTGTCTACTTCTGGGAAGAGCCTGGAGTATGTGTCTCTGGACACACCATCAGCCGCTCATCATTAAGAAATGCATCAATATCAGCTGCAGGTCATCCAGTGACCGTTAGCTTTAGGACATAATAATGATGTCACTAGAATGTTTGTTCAGCTGGGGTGCTCAATGGGAAGGCATGTTTTAAATTCCAGTCTTCCAAGCCCAGGTTACTAGCACCCACATAGCAGCTAACAACCGTCCCTAACTCCAGCTCCAGAGGATCCAACATCATCTTGTCATCTCCAGTGAGCATTACATGCACAGGTGCACTTACGTACATGCAGACAAAACACATACACATAAAATAAATATAAAGTTTTAAATTTATTATTTTATGTGTATAAGTGTTTGGCTTGTATATGTGTAAGTGCACCATGTACATGCAGTGCCCTGAGAGATGAAGAGGGTGTCAGATCCCCTGGAACTGGAGTTTCAGATGGTTGTTGGCCACCATGTGGGTGCTGGGAATTGAACCCAAGTCTTCTGCAAGAGTAGCCAGTGCTCTTAACCACTGAGCCATCTCTCTAGCCCCAAATAAAATATTTAAAACAACAAAAGTCAAACAAGTTTTGAAGCTATGCATGGTGGCACATGCCTGTCATCCTAATACTCGGGAGGCTGAGGCAGGAAGATTAGGAGTCTGAAGCTAGTCTAGGCAACAGAATAATAACTTGTCTCAAAATGCAAAAACAACAAAAACCTCAGGCTTTGTGGGGTTTCCCTACCTCAGCCCTTGGAACTGGAGACAACACCCACCCACCATGTCCCAGCTTTCCCTAAGGCCAAATCTAGGCCAGTTGAGGGAAGACACATCTCTCACCTCATCCCTGAAACATGCCTCGGCCTCCCATGTAGCTGAGTGCTGCTTGGGAATGAGGAACCGTTGAGACAGAGGTTCCTCCAGGCAAGCCCTCTTACAGTAAGGCCCATCGGTGATGTAGTCTCCTTTCCCTGGAATGCTCGTCACATTATCTGCTTTTGGTTAGCTAGCTTTTGACTGAAATCATAGACTCCTAGGAGGTTACAAAAGTTGCACAAAGAGTTCCTGGTGTGGCTTCTAGCTCCCCATCCCAGGTGCAGTCCCATTTTGTACAACTGCAGCGTAAGAACAAAGCCCAGAGGCTGAACACTGCTAACCCACAGCAAATTAGACTGGCTTAGCTTCTACCACAGTTGGCATGTATTGGTTTGTGTAAGCTTTCAGATGTTGGTGAGGTCCACACCAAGCATTTCAGATTTCCTATTTTTAACTACAGAACCAAGTGTCCCCCTTACACATCTGGATGTATCCAGGCAAAGCTCAGCTTACTGAATGAATGAGAACAGATTTTGGGCTGAGAATGTGGTTCAGTCAGTAGAGCGATTGACTAGCGTGCACAAAGTCCTGGATTCCATCCCCAGCACCTCATAAAATGGGTATGGCAGGCTACACCTGTAATCCCTAGCACCTGGGAGGTAGAGGCAGAAGGACCAGAAGGTTATCCTCCACTATAGCAAGTCTGAAGCTGGCATGGACTGTGTTTAAAAACAAACGGGCTGGAGAGACAGTTCAGTGGGTAAGAGCACTGACTCTTGCATAGGACCCGGGATCAGTTCACAGTACCTACAAGGCAGCTAACAACTGTCCCTAACTCCAGTTCCAGAGGGTCTGATGCCCTCTTCTGGCCTCTGCAGGCACTGCACCACAGGGTGCACTTAATGCAGCAAAACACTCATACACATCACATAAATAAAAACAAACACAAACCCTGAGAAACCCAGTTGCTATGAGGCTAGCCCATCCCTGCACCATGCACCAGTCACTTCCTCTGGAACAGTGAAGGCTTCTCGTCTGTCTACCCACTGTATTGATTTAGGCAATTTCACTTACTCTGCCAGAAAGTCTAGATGCAGCAGCCGTCATTTTCTGTTGCTCATCTTCTATGTACAGGCTGCTTCTTGTCAGCATGACAATACCTGAGAGAAACAACTGGAGGGAGGGAGGGAGGGAGGGCTTATTTGGCTCATCCTATTAGAAGTCTCAGTCCATGGTCCTTCCCAGGATGTGGTAAGGAGGAACACCATGGTGGGAGGGCATGGCAGTCAAGAAGCAGAGTGACCTGGACCAGGAGCAAAATTCCATCAGTGGATCCCTAGTGGCCTACTACCTCTGATCAGGCCCTACTTTAAAACATTTTCATCACTTTCCAAAATAGCAATACCATAGCTGGGTATGGTGGCATATGCCTTTAATCCCAGTACTCGGGAGGCAGAGGCAGGCAAATCTCTGTAAGTTCAAGGCCAGCCTTGGTTGCATAGCAAATTCCAGGCTAGGTGGGGCTACTGGGAGACCCTGCCTCAAAAAGACCAAAATAAGTAGATAAATAATAGATAAAAATAAAGTAAATAAAGAGCAACACCAGCTAGGAAAAAGGCTTCAGCACCAGAACCATAGCACCATAGCCATGGTGATCCCCCATACCCAGTTAGAGACTGGGGCAGCCGGTTTCCAAGATAGCCCCGGGGAAACTTGCCTCCAGGCCATCGTACCTGTTTCCGTGTGGCTCCTTTCTAGGCTCAGCACGACTAGGG